CCGCCTCCAGCTGGTAGCGGGCGCGGTGCGAGCGCTCGCGGACCTCGGAGAGGCTAGAGACCTCGCCCGCGCTAAGGCACACCACGCTAAGGAAACTTTCTGTGATATGAAACAGGTTAGCATATACGTATCTAAAGTTAAAAAACCCCTTTGACATCAAGGGAATAGACCAGTTTAGTTTTCGCTGTCAAGACAGTAATTTGGATAAACATGTCTAATAGAAAATTTACGCACGGCGATCGTCGCGTGATATTGCTAGTGGAAAGGCGGATTGACAGTGAGAAAATAACCATGTCTGGCATGAAAATGTGTACTTTATATAATGACTTACTTTGTGGAAAGATTAAGTTCAAATTGTCTCTGTCGGCAAAATTGTTTTACCCTTGTAATGACTTGTGATAAAAAGGTCAGACGGTCATAAGCCGATGTGTTTATGTGCCGGGTACATACAAGACGCACAGCGCAATAAGATAATGTAAAACGTTATTTTAACCTTTAAAAATACTTTATTAAACTATTTATGCAATGAATAATTTGCAATTTACATTCAACGTAACAGATGTCGAATAAAAACATCTGTAATCGAGCGATTTGTAATCATCGGTCGAATCAATATAAAAAGTTTGTTTGTCCAGCTGACGGTCGCGGCGCTGTACCGCTACAGTCTTATGTATTGTCAATGAGTAACGGTCGTTTATTTGATATTCAAACATTGCTACGAATTTTTGTCGCAAATAATGTTTATTTAGATAATGGTTTGCATCATTGTTTGCTAAAAATCCATTTAAAAAGAAAACGATTAATCTTTACTTTCTATTTGCAGGATTTGGCTCCTGTGCATGAGGAAAGTGAAATTGTCGAAGACAAATTGATTGCTTTACGCGACAATTTGATCGCCCTCGGCAAAAGTGAAGCGGACATCGCGCCCGCTAAAGCGGAGCTGCCCGACATCGACCGGGATGTATCCGAGGAGCACTCTATTGTTAGGATACTGGAGCTATGGCAGGCCATGTTCCGAGACACCTTCCTGCATTACCACCGGCTGTCTACTGCGCTGGTGAGGTCGGGCGACGCCGCCACCGCACTAAAGTTGTGGCACGAATACCTATTAGATATACAGTCCTTCCTGTCCGGCTCAGTCCCGGCGGACTATGAGAACTTGACGGAACACCGCCGGCTTTGCCGCGTGCACAGGAATCTGTTAGCCTCGCAGAGATCGGTCCTAATTAACGAGAACAAAGAGACAACGAACAGGGAGCTAGCAGACAAGTTCGACACTCTGACCAACCTACATAACGAGACGCTCGCGCGGATCGTGGACCGTCATGACGAAGTCTGCACCCGTATAGCTGCCTGGGACGACTACAGAGAAATATACACTGAACTGCTAAGATGGCTGAAAGAGATCGAGCGAGAGAAGGAGAAGCTGCAGCTCAGATACGTCCACATAAAGAGAGTCCATAAAATCCTATCGAAAATTCAAAATCTCAGCGACAAATTACCCGAAGGCAAGAAGTTTGCGGATAA